AGGCTCGCCAGGCCGGCGAGGCGGTGGGCAGGAGAGGGAGGAGGGCGGCTTCGTCCGCCTCCAGCCCGCGGGGTTCTGGGTTCTGGGTTCTGCCTGCTCCTCCTTGGCTGCCCCGGAGCGCGGCGGGGCTGGTTTTCGCGTTCGTTTCCCTCCCTCTCGGCAGCCGGATGGAGGTTTGGAGGCTCCTTCCTGGGAGCCACCGTGCTCTCTGTTGTTTGTCCTAGTGGCTCTTGTTGGGCCTGTTTTGCAAGAGCAAAGGGACTGTGAAGGTTTCTAAGGACTGTGGTGTTTTTGTTATTTCACGTTTATATCCTGGCGAATGTTTTGTTGTTTGCTATCTCCTATCAAGGCTGGGCACCCTCCACATTGTCTGATTCCTAATGTGATAGCTGCAGTTAGGTAGAGAGATATCCCAGAGTGATAAAAAGGCCTTAAAATAACAAAAATAATCAGTGTGCTGTGAGGAACATTGCCTCAGGAAATTAAAAACTGCATAGCATGGTGTGTGAGATCTATACCTGCTTGCTTTCAGCCAGCACAAAAAGCTGTTTTACCTGCTCTGTCGTTGTCAGTCCCAGCTCCTGTTCTGTTAACCAGGGTTCTCAAAAAGACTTCACCCCACCCTGCCTCTTGCAGAGATTGATCAGCATCTGTCTGAAGAATGGAGCTGCAGCTGTGAGCACCACGGAGTCAGCAGCAAGTGAAAATCCTCTGAGGCAGTGTACATTCAGATAAATTGAAAACAAAATTGGAAATTTTCCTTCTGCTGTGAATATGCTTACAGTTGAGGAGCGTGGAAACTTGTTGACTCAATCTGAGGAAAAGTTAACCACTTTTGATTCTATGGTTTGGGTTTTTTACCTCAGCCTTATCACTTCTCCAGTCGAGTTTACTGTATGTTCCCATAGCATAGCACGGGTAGGAACAAGTGAGTGAGGAAGGGAACAAGCAGATGAGTTGCTGTTTAACTCTTACTGGTGGAAGAATGCATGCAGATCCAGCAGTTTGGAAGGTGGGGCACCTGAAGGTTCAGCTGTTGTAATGCAGTGCACTGAAGTGCCCCAGTCTCTGTGGCTGGAGTCTGAAGTGACTTGCACTCTATCACACAGAACGTTTGTGTTAAGAGCAGGTGACACTGAGTTTGGCAACAGTGGTGACACGTTTACCATTAAAATTTATTGCACTCCAACTTGGTTGTGATAGTGAAAGGGTATAAAGCTTTCTGGACATGTATTATAACCAATTATTTAGTAGCAAGTGTCACAGGTAATGTCTCTATTTCCCAGGGAGATGACAGCCTGTCTGTGATAACCTGTGAATCAGATACAGACATGGTGAGTTTTATTAATCACACGCTGCGGGTGAAAGCCTTAAAAAGCCTCTCAGCATGTTCTTGCACACGCTACATCCCCATGCTGCCTCCTGGTCAATAAGACACCCTTCAGAGAGGAGAGGTAACAATTACTGCAACTTAGTTTGATTGAAAAGCCTCCTCTAATTCTACATGTAATTCTGGCTTCTAAATTCTCAGCTCTAGTTGCTGCAAATGATGTTTTGTTTCATTTCCCTGTTTTATCAAGTCCTGGGCCTCAGCAATCCTTTTACAGAGTTTTAATGGAATTGAATAAGTCTTTCCTTTAGCTAAGTGGTTCTACAGATCAGCCTCTCCTCTGTGATCATCTTGAATTTGCTGCTACTCATATTTAATACTGATGGGGAAGGTCTTGGTGTTCCAATCACGAATAGACTACGTTCATCTGTAGCATAAAACTTCAGTAGGCTCCACCTCAATTCTGGTGACCATTGCTGTGGCCACTACTTAACACTACTATTTTTCTTTTCTACACAGAAGATTTCGTGTTATTAGAACAAATGATCTTCATACAAAATGGAGATTGAAGCCAATTTTGAGATTAAATGCTGAAATCTTTGCAGAGTGAAATATTTTAAATACACAAAATATTCTTTTTCTCTTCTAGAAGTTAAAGAAGAAAATTTTCCACAAGCCTCCAAAGTCACCAAGTACGTGTTACAAAATTTTTTCTTCTGCTTCTGTTACTCCAGAACAAGATAAGATTTGTGGGACAAGGAAACTGGAAGATTTACTTGAAGCAACATTTTACTATTCTCTTTAGAATTGTTCACTGGTGCAGAACACACCTATCTGAGATTTGTTCTGTAACCTATGAAGTTAGATTTTATAAGCGAAATGCTGAAGTTTAGGGGTTAGTTGTAAGTCTTGATTCTCCAGCATAAATTACTTCCTTCTTGTGTTATCCCTTCCAATGGCAAGTGTTCTGAATTTCTTTTTCTCTTGTCTTTTGGGAGAAATGCTGATACTTGGTGTGTAGAAAGATTCTAGCACCACTGGAGCTACCTACCACCTAGTAGATATCTCTGGCTTTAGATTAAGCAATTCTCAGTTTCATTTGTTGGTTTTGTTTTTCACATGATCTTAGGAGTACAATGGTATTATTAGATCTGCAATTTTAAGGTGGGGTTTTGTCCTTTTTTTCTGGGGTTTAGGTTTCTTACTATACTTTTCCATTTTCCTTCCTTTTTATACTTAAAGTGAATGTTTCAAAGAAGACTTTACCTCAAGATGTTGCTGATTGTTTGATTGATACTTTGTTTTGATTGATACTTTGCTGAATGATACTTTGTTTTGTTTCTAATAAGTTAAATAATATTGGACTTTTAAATTTTGCTTTAGGTTGAGGAAAAGGCCTGGTCTTCTGGTAGATTGGCATCTATCTTCTTTCTTTTCCTGAAATCCCTTTGCTTGCCTAAATGTTGGAATTTAAAAGAACTGTTTCATTTCAGCTATGATGTTTGTGACATTGCTTCTTACTGTATGTACTTCTCTTGGTAATTTGAAGATTAGCTAGTTAGCACGTATAATGCACATCTGTACTACTAATTTGAAGTGTAATTAGTGTCAGTGTTTGAACCTGACCACCATACCTGAAGTAGAAATGGGAGGGGCTCCCCAGCAGCTGCATCAGACCAGTTCTGTTCTTTGGTCACTGCAAGGAAGTTGCCAGTGGATTAGTGGCTGTGGACTTACTTCTGTCTGTTTAGCCATACAGGTTTTTCTCATGGGTAGGACATTTGTGTATGCATTCATTGCAAGGTCAGTTTAATGTATGAATTTGTATGTGTGCAGGTGTCTTAAGAATGCCTGTTAAATATTTCTACACGTGTTGAGTCATTTTACTGTTACTATGCCTCTTTATAAGCCTCCTCAGTTTTTGGAAATAGATTTTTTCTTTATCATGATTTATTTTTTTTCCCAGGTGAATGTCCCATTGCTCTGTGTCAGCCAGTACGTAGTATGCTGTTTTTATAAGTAATAGGACTAGTGTCTGGGAACCTTGAAGCACAAGACACAAAGAATTTTTGTGACCCTGAGCTTTTTAAGGCAATGCTGAGATATTTTATCTTGTTTTAGAGTCTCCCTACAGCTCTAGCACACAGCTGTATCCTAAGAAAGCTGCAGTTTGGCGATCTCTGCAGGGAACAGGCAGTGCATGTCTCGAGGGTGCAGCTGTAAAAAACCCAAGGCAGATGTTGCTGGGTTCACTGAAACAAGGTATTAGTATAGAAACTTTATCTGCATATATGGATAAAATTCAGTGTTGTGGAGATCTTAACATGTAAACTCCTAAAAAATAGATTTGTAGTTGATTATAGGCTACCTAGGAAATCATTTCACTATTATTTATTTGGGTGGTGGGAATTATTTGATCTTGAGCATTGGAATTTTTAGAGGGAAAAATTAACAGCATCTGGAGTTTTCTATGTTGCATTTTCTCAGAATAAATCAACAAATTTAACTCACAATTATCCCTGATTTTTGCATTTTTGTTCAATTTTTGTCAGCAGAAGGAATGAGCCATTCTCTGAAATCGGATGCTGACGTGGGGCATATGCGAACTAACATTTCTAGTAGCACTCCAGAATATTTGAAGGAAGCTCTAGGAATGAAGAAGCCAAAACATTCTCGTTCTTCTAGTAATGGTAAACTATGTAATGGTGTGGTAGAGAAAAATTAATGTTCTTTTTTCCATGTAAAAACACACATTACTTAAGATCTTAGCTTTAGTCAAACAAGAGCCATTTCAGTTTAGCCTGTATTAAAATATATGTGTCAGAATATGATCCATGAAATACTTTGAGATTTCTAAATTGGATAAGACAGGGTTTTCCAAATTTTTTTGAGCAATGAGTCACTACAAGTTCTCAGAACTTTTTGCAAATTGCCATGCATTTGCAGCTGAAAACACTGCAAATATAGTATAGTTCAATGGGCCAGCTGTAGACAATTTATTGTGACTTTGCAAAACATAGTTTAGGAACCATTGATAGAAACCATCTGCTTGCCTGAAATTCTATGTAATTGGCTGCTTTTAGTTCTTCTCTAGGAAGTGTTTTATTGTGTGGTTGTGATATTAAAATCAATTGAGTTTTCTGAGAAGAGCAAACTTGAAAACTTTTATCCTGCTTTTCTTAAATGAGAACTGTAAGCTTAAAAATTCTACTTCCATTTAAAATGACACCTATACTGTTACTGGTAATACACACTTTCTGGCAGCTTTAAACAATGATAGACTTTTACACACTAGGCATAAACAGAAAAAATGTATTCTGGACATCTTTTAGAAATCTTTTGTAAATAATTGATTTGTTGGAATGAGAAGACTGCAGTCTTCTTGAGGTGTCTTTTCTTGAGATAGATGTTTTAATCTAGCACCAGAGAGAAGAGAAGTAATTAGGAGAAATTTGCTTTAAAATATGGCAGAAGTTTCATATGGGAACTTCTCCATTTCTAAAATTAATTTCCTTGCTGATTTTTCTTTTTCTTCTAAAAAGAGAAAAAAACCCCTAGTTTCTGGTTTGTGTTGTGCTGTTCTATATATTTTCTTTTAACTGTAAGATTTCTGGCTAGATAAAATATGTCTTTCAGAGCTGTTTATTTTACATACCTTTTTCTGTAGGCTACATTCCTGGAACTCCTGACTACAAAGAAAAGGAAGATATGTATGATGAAATCATAGAGCTGAAAAAGGTACAGTCTCTCTGATACTTGCATAGAAAGTCATAGCATCGCTCCATCCACCTGTAGATGTCCAGGCCTTCTCAGTTCAGAATACTTTGATTTCTACAGCTGGGACATCCTTCAATTTTTTTTTGCATTTGTAATGTAAGGCTAAACTAAACTTGTGTCTGTTTAAGGCAATTTCATTGTTCTTTACGGTGTGATAGACACTTCTGAGTACTGGATGTGGAAGCCTTGAAGTATACCCAGTCCTGAACCCCAGCCATGGCCCTAGCTGGACGCTGAAAAGGTTTATTGCATTTGGTTTCTTTGTCCCTCCACCTCCCATTTTTTGTTGTTGTTTTTTTGGTTTTGGGTTTTTGTCTCCTGGCTGTTACTCATCACATTTTAACAACTTCTCAGTTGAGTTTAGTGCAGTGTATGAAAGAAGAGGACTGGGCGTGTTGAACACTAGGGATACCTATAGATAAATATCCTGGTTGTTGTAGATCATTTGTGTAAGGTTGCCTTTCTGTTAAACCTTTTCCTTTTATCTTTGCCCTGTCTCCCTTATTTGTCAGCCCTGATCCAGTGTGATGGTATGGTCTCTTTTTTTTTCCCTTTCGCTTCATCCTCACCATGGTAATTGGATTGTTATTGACATCAAAATGTGTTTTCACGTGAAAACTCAGTGTGTTTCTCTTTCTGAAATGTGCTTATGATTTTTCTCCCCTCTTGTAGACAATACAAGCTCAGAAAAATGAGGGAGATCGAATGAAAACTAAGCTCCGTCGACTAGAAGAAGAGAACAATAGAAAGGATAAACAGATTGAACAACTGTTGGATCCTTCCAGGGTGACTACTTATTGGGAGAATAAAAGTGGGGCAAAAGAGTGCTGAGCAGTGTGATTGTCTTCTCCTTGTCTCTCTAGATTTCAGGAGTCTGTACTGTGTTGGCTCCTAGGAATTGTAAACTGGAATATGAGAGGTGGTTAGTTGGTGTGAAGGGTTTTCTGTTTTGTCTATCTCAGCTCACCAGTCCAGCTGAGTTCAGATGCAGATCATGCCATGCTGTGCAGATAAGTTTATTTAGCAAAGATACTTTTAATTTCTGAAGGTAAAATTAAAACGCTGTCTCTTTAGAGGTCCTCTTTCTGAATATTTTGCCTGAGATTAGAAGGGAGTTAACCTCTTGCATGATGACTGATACATGTGGTCCTGAGAGGTGAACCAGGGAGCAAAAGATGAGCCTTATTGTCAGACTTACGAGGCTTAGAAGCACTTAGGGTCATAGTTAGAAGACTTGAATTTCACTGAATTCCTTATGGCTGTCATTGTCTGTGTGCAGATCTACATCTTAGGAGAAGTGTGCTAATAAAAATAATGAGCATAGGGACTTCAGAACTTAAGCTGTTGAACTCTGAAATGACTGTGGAGATGAGTAGGTTAGAAAATTCTGTGGAAAGAGCTGGCAGTAGAATAAAGTAGCAAGGTTGGTCCCTTGCTTTATCTGTGTTGTCTTGCAGGGCTCTGAGCTGGCACGAGCTTTGTCAGAAAAGAAGACTGATAATGGATGGGTAATAGTTTCTTCATGACCTTTTGCTTTAATTTTTCCTTTTTCCTTCTTGCCAAGTTGAAATGCTACTGATTAAAAAAATAAAATCAAGTAAGAAAGAATAAGCAATTAGGGATTCATGTAACCATTATTTCTACAGTCAGATAAGAAACCAGTGACAAAGATCTGGAATTAACATTATTTTAGAGAGCCACCTTTGTCACTGTCTTGACTTTGTTTAGGGAGTATTCTCCCTGTTATTTGCTGCTTTTAATTTATCAGGGTAATCAGCAGAGTTGTTTTTATTTAATGATTGTGTATAAATATTATTAAGCTGGTTATTGTACCACAGATACAAGTTAGGGATCTGATTTCATTAGTGTTCTCTTTGTCACAGGGTAGCAGACAAGTATGATTTACTAAGTACTGAAGTATGTAGGAGTCAGTATATCTGGTTAGGTACAATTTATAAAGAGAGGGCAAGATTATGAAGAAATAGAACTTCTACGAATAGATGGATTATTCTAGAACTCATGAACTCTTTGTTCTTTCTGTAGGTGGTTAGTGGATTAAAGCAGAAGATTTTCAAGCTAGAACAACAGTGCAAGGAGAAAGACAACACTATTAAGTATGACTTTGAGGGGGTAGAGGCTTGTATTGGATGAGATAATAAAGAGAATTTGAAATCCACGTTATTTTTCATCTGTATTCTTCTGTTCCTTAACACACTTTAATGAACTCTGAGAACATATTAGCAGTCATAAACCTCTCACCCAGAAACTGTAAACTGACAGGTATGGCAGTATCTTTGCTGATCTGACTGAATTATTTTTTGTATTATTCTATTTACAGCAAATTCCAAGCAGACATGAAGACCACTAATTTGGAAGAAATGAGAACAGCTGTGGAAACCTACTATGAAGAGGTATGTCTGTCAGGTCCTTCAACATGCATGTAGGAGAGGAAGATGTTCAGTTGTTGAGTTAAATGGATAAATGGAATGTTCTAGAGAGGTTTCTTACAGCTTAGCTGCACCTGTCATTGGAATCAGATTTTCATAGCTATTCCTGTACCTCCAAATATATGTACTGAAAAACCTTTTTTCTTCAATACGTTGCATGTACTAACTAAAAAGCAGAAACAAAGAAACTAACGTACATCTGTCTGTGTAACCTGGGCTTTGGCAGGGGGGTTGGACTGGAGGATCTCCTGAGGTCCCTTCCAACCCTACTATTCTGTGTTTCTGTGAAGTGTCTAGATGAAAGCTGATATTACAGTGGCCTGGTTTTCATTGATGGCATCATTGCCTCTGCTGCTGCCCAGAGAGTCTTGCTCTGATTTTCACTTCATGGATAAATGTGTTCTACTAACAATGTCAGCTTCCACAGCTAGCTCCTTAATGGAATCTATATGTCATATTTCACAGGTTCATCGTCTCCAACTCCTCCTGGCACAATCTGAGACTATGAGGAAAAAGTATGTTTAATTCTTTTCAGGCAAATGTTTGTGTATACATGTTTCATATATCCCCTATATACTGTAACTGATGGAAAACAACTACATGGGAACAGTTTATTTTGTCATTTAGTTTGCTGTCTTTGCTTTTTGGTAATGCTTTGATTGGCTTCACAGCCTTGGCATATGTCTTAGTCACTTTTTTTGGTTTTTTTGAAGATAGATCATTTTGTGGATGTAGAAAAAATACTGGAGCTATTTAAAAAGTACACGAAAACTTTGAAAATGGATCTCTGTTAAATAAAATCCACCTTCCCCAATAACCACACCAATTCTGACATCAATGGTAATTGAAACAAGCTCACTAGATTTTTGGCATTCTACTCTTGAGTCAGTTCTGCATCTTGCTCTAGGGTGTATGCTGCAAAGAAGGTATTTTGGAGTAAATATTATTTTCATGTAGTACAGAGAGATAGATCTGGTGGTCGGGGTAGCTTCTGTGAGATGTCCATGAGTGGCACTAATAAGACACTGTCAGAGAAGATTGTACTAGTCTGTCACTAGGTTTATACATGGTGGTTAGGGTGAGCGGTCTATAGAGGAAATAAAAATCAAAGCACAAAGGCAAAAGACAAAGCTCCAGTAAGAGAGCAAATTAAGTGTCTGTGCAAGCAAGTGTTATTCGAGCTGAGAAGAGGGCAATGGAGTCTTGTGAGATAGGCAAATTTGTTACCACACCACTTCAAAATATGCTTGCCCTTCTAGAGTTAACTACAGATAACTGTCTTAATTTTGGGTGTAATTATTTAGATTGATAGAAACATATAAGAACTCTTTATGGGTCATTATGTTTATTACTTGTGTTTCCTTAATTCACTGTCCCTTGTGGATTGAAAACCGCAAATTTTTTTGACATTGTATTAAATAAAAAATATATATATCTCTTGGCTTAGGCATGCAGTCACCAGCCTCTCGAGGCTGTAAACCATCACACCTAATTTATTTACAGGTGAATATGAGTCATCAAGTCTCTTCCTTGTCCTCATTTATTCACAGCTTCAAAAAGCAGTGGTCAGGGCAGTCTCCCTCCATTACGTGACTGTCAGTCTCTACTTGAGAGGCTGAGCACTGAAATGATAAATGATGTTGAAGGTCAGAACTCTGGCACGTAGAAAGAGTTGTAGGAGAGTATTTCTTTCATGATGCTTGTCTACATTATTTCTGGCAGAAATGAATGGCATTTAGCTCCTCTTTTTCAGTGTTAACACTGAAACATGATTATTTATATGTGAAGCTGTAGTATCCAATTGTAGCTAGAAACTAGGCAAGCTTTCAAGTCCTCAAAATGGTCTGCAGTTCTTTCATTTAGGTTTTGTTGAGCCTAAAATAACGACACTCAGTGATACAGTTATGATTTCTATAATTTCTGTCACTTTCTGGTTTTAGTGATGTGTTGTGTTTTGGTTTTTACTTTCTTTTTCTCCCCTGCCTGGGACAGCTTTATGAATAATTATCCATGATGTCTGGACAGCCTTATTTGTTTGTTTTTATGCCTTCGTTTCCTTTTAATTTCCAAAAGGTAGATTAGATTCAGCTTTTCACTCTAATTGTAGACTGTCTCCCCCTTTACCCTGTAATTATTATTGGGATGTAAGATTCCTTCACAAACTGTTCTGTGATTGTCATTGGCAGTGGCATTTGTCCAAAAGTAGGTTCATCAGTTACTTCAGACCTTTGTTTCCAGAAGTAAGTTTTTAAGAATTTTCTCATAGCAATAAAGAACAAGTATTTAATCTCACTAGAAATCTGTTTTCTGAACAAACTTTACAACTTTGCACATTTAGAAGATGAGATTTCTTCCCTGTTTTATTAGAGAAACTAAAAAGACAAAATCACTGTAATATATTTAAAGCAGTTTTTACACATAGCAGGCTTTCCCTTTCCTGATGGCTTTTATTCCCATCACACTGATGTTAGCTGTATTCTTCAAATCTGTTTCAAATCTCTCATCGATTGAAACATATCTTAAATGAAGAAAGAAATTCTCTGGAGTTTACTTTCACAGGAATAGTTCCTTTCACATTAGAGCAGAATTCACAGTTATCTGAAAATACACTTGTGTGTTGGATTTATTTGAGAGTTATTCCATCTGTGTATAGCCCTCTTTCTCTCCCCCAATCTCAATTTGTTTGTTAAGTGAAAGAAAGCAATTCAGAGCACGCAGGTTAGCTTTCCATGCTGAACAGTTTTTTGGAGGAGTCTCCCAATTGGCTGGAGATAAGTGTTTTTAAATCAGTGGTCCATAGAGTGCTGGTAAAACATTTTAAGGTTGGTTAAGAAAACAAATAGAAAACCAAATAAGATAAACTCATACAAGCACCTTTGTTTATGCCTTAATGAAAAAGGATAGGGGAGGAAGTAAAAGTAATAAATGAAATTTCAAAGTATCTTCTTTCTTTGATGCAAATTAAAGCAATTGGGAAAGTGTTGAGCAAGGTGGTGTTTGCATGGTTTTTTTTCCTAAAAGAATAGGAAACTCCTCAAGTAAAAAATGTTGCCAAATGCTATTCAGGGTGGAGCTGAGACAGTTAAGTTAGACAGTTGACTTGAATAATGAGGCTGTTCCACTCTTTCTAATGCTGCTTCTTTGTTCTCTGCTTTTAAGTTAACTTTCTGGTTTTGATCCCGTTTCCAAGTACAGAGGGCAGAGATACCCAAAAACGACTAAAGGCATTGAATGCTGCTGTCCTGAGGTTATCCAGGAACATCAAGGAATTGCAGGATGAGAATCGGAGGCTGAAAGAAGATCTCAATCATGTACTGAGCAGTTCTCCTCCTTCCAATAAAACAAAAAGTACGTGCTGAAAAGCTGATGAACATGGGGTAAGGGATCTAGGTACATTTGAAAAATGTCTTTGAGAGCAGGACCCTACAAGGTATAAATAATGGAGTTATTATAAAAGTGAAGATTCAGAAGGGGCAAACTTTGAAATGAGAAGTTTCTTACAGGAGCTTCTCTTTGACTTCTGGATATGCTGCTCCAGCCAGACCTGGGTTTCCTTTTTTATTATACCTGAGAATTCTGGACTAGAATCACTTGAAGATGTAATGTTTCACTGGAAATCAGTTTTTCAGTTACTGAAAACTGATGAGCGTGAATGGTTTATATTGATCTCGGAGCTGATTCATGTAGAAGTCAAGTATTTTAAGACCATTCTCATTTTGACATTGCTGCATATTTAAAGTTGGGGTCCAGAGGTCTTTAGATGGTCTTTCTATATGGACAGAACTTTCAAAAAGCAAGAATGTTGACTCACTGATATAATTTCATTTTAAAGCTTTGTTATTGTATTTAGATTATAGTGAGTGGAGCAGACAGAGGCTGGTGAGGCGGATTTCGGAACTAGAAAAAGTGAGTGATCATAATCATCTGACCATCTTGCCTGTCTTTGAGCAGCAAATGCAGAACCACTGGCTTGTGCTCATGGCATGTGGTCCTTCAGTATATCAGCCTTGTGCACTCTGGCTCTTACTTGTAAAATGATGTCTGTACCATGTGCCCTTCCTCCCTTTTTTCTTTTCTTATACTTGTTACATACAGATGTACATTTTAGAATTAATTTCTATTTGTTCTTTTCTCATGGTGTAAATAAAATAATTTAATGCTAAATTTAATTTTCTTTTTTATTTTTTGTGTAAATTTATCCCATTTAGAAAGTATGTGCCATGGAGAATACAAGGGTGTCATCAGCAGATAGTGAGTCATCACAGTTACTTGCTGTGTCATCTTCACCTTCTGTTGACCTGGATCATCCAGCTTCTCAACAGGTAGACCATGTTGAGGAATGAAAGTTGCCTCCAAGGGCTAGTGAAGAAACTGAAGAGTGATAGGAAGGCACTTCAAAATCTGCTACTCAATAAAGAGTAAGTGCGACTCTTGTCTGAGATGTTGTTCTTTTGTAGGTGTAAATTGCTTAATTATTTCCTATCATGTTATGAAACGATGTAATGTCCTTCACATTTTCAGAAAGAAAATGAAATTTGAGAGTCCCTTCACCTTTTATTTCAAAAGCTTCTTCTAGTCCTACTTGTTGTAAAATTAAATTGCAGGGGAAAAAAGTCAGTGAGAATATGGAAAATGAGAATTTCTGCTTGTTTCTAACACATTTTTCAAGGGTTCTGTGTCACTTTATGCAACACTTCTTGCAAGTATTTTGCTGTAAAAATTTGTCTTGTTTTTTCAACTTTTTATCCTGGTCTACCACTTTCTCCATTTCAGCCTGGCTGCTGCCATATGACACACTGTGAGTTCTTTTCTTCCCAGTAAGCAATTTATTTGCAATTTGTATTGCTTGGATTCATTTGGTGTGTCAGTGCATAAGGGCAGGCAGGTTAATCTGATCATGAGCAGAGATGTGCACACAACTATTGTTGATCAGACACTCTGCCTCCTGTGTCAGCTCACCTCTGAACAGAAATGCGTAGTGAGAGGATGCCAAGAGGCCTTTTGCTTCTGAACAATGTATGCTTGCATTTTGTTTTGTTTAAAAGGAAAAATTAAACATTCAGTGACTTTACAAATTTGATAAAAACCTGTTTTAATTAGAAGTTTAAACAAGTAACTATTTTGTTGAAGTGTGAATATCTTAATTATTGCTTAGATTTCCTTATACCTTGTAGATTAGATATCAAGCAGTTACTGCAGGCTAAGGCTGAAGTGGAGCTGGAGCTGCAGAAGTGGCAGAATAAGATGGAAGAAAAGACTACAGAAGAGCAGACTTTAAGGTATCATATTTTGTCTTAATAGATCCTTTCAGAACTGAAAAAAAATCTGTGAAAATATAATTCTCTCAAAATGGCTCAAAATCCATAGGAGTTCATCTGAACTGCAGGAAGCTGGAAGTGTATTTAAACAGAACTGTTTTGGAGGGATGAAGTAAGTTACTAGGGGAAGAATTCTGTCAAGTGGTTTTAGAGGAAGTGGAAGGCTAAGTAGTATAGTAAAATTAAGAATTAAATTATAATAAAAAATACTAAGATAAATGGAAAAAGAAAGCTGCCATGTTAGGCTCAGAAACATTTTTTTCTCTTTCTAAGAAAAATATGTAGCATGTTTACATCAGCCTATGCTTCTGTACCATTGCCAATATGTCATTCCATTTACTTCATGTATTCTGTGTAACTGTTGATAACAATCCTGTGCAAAGGGTGGCAAAAAAATTATTTAATTATTGCTTTGTAAGAAAGGACTTTGACAAATATGAAACTGTGGCAGATCTAGATGCAATGTTAATAGTATCAGGGGTACCATTGTAACCTTTGGACTTTATAATTTTAACTGTGCTATCACACCTTCAGAATTGATGTTACATGTCTGTTACTGCAAGAATATGTATCATGTTATCCTGAGCAGTTTCCCTCTTTGGCCTTTAAAAAAAAACCAGAGCAACCAAATCTTAGGAAATAGGCTCAGTATTTTCAAAGCAGGAGCAACAGAAAATTTCTAGCTATGAATATTTTTGCTTTTCCAACCATAGTGAGGAAATCCAGAACCTGACACAGAAAGTAGGGAAGTTGGAGTCAAAATTGGAGAAAGAGAAGAGACAAATGGCAGAAGATACAATGGAAAAGGTTAATGAGGTACAGATTCATGTCTTTATGGTTTCTTTTCCCCATTGCATCTAACTCTTATATTGCAAATTTTGCTGATAGTCTAAATAGCTGCCAGGTATGTCTTTTCAGAGAGGCATTAAATCTTGTCATAGAGGTTTTGAATGATGGTTAATTCCCAGAGTCTGTTGATAAGTTTTTTTCAATAATTACCACTGCAACTTGGGATGTTCTTGGAGCTGTTCTCTTAGTGGTTATCTGCCTCACCATCACTTTTTTCTTATTCAGTGGAATGTTGCAAAAAGCTTATGCTTCTAAGTCTTTGGGCTTTTTTGCCTTACTTCCTAAGGAGAACAAAACAAACAAAAGATGTTTGTGGTCTTGCTTATATTTTCTTATAACATCTGAACCCATTAGCTAACTTTAGTCCAATTTTGTAGAGGGAGGGAGGTCTTGTAGGAGTTGACAGATAAATGATAGACACACAGGTAAGTGCTCACTGGCAGACTGGCAAAAGACAAAAAACCCTTTTCAATTATATTTATGCTGGTCAGGTGATTAGTTAGGGCACATGTGCTGTCCGGTCAGAAAATATTCATTAACCTTTAGTTATGGATGGAAGCTGGGTACTCTTTCATGGGAAGGTTTACAGGATGTAGAGCACTAATCATCATGAAAATTGAGGGGTTTTTTTTCATTCCATTGCTGATGGGGCACTGTATTTGAGTAAGGAATTAGGGAAGATGTCAATACAATAAAATAAACCCTTATCCCCTTTGAATTGAAGTTTTTCAAGAGTTGAGGTATTCATAACCTCTTATTTCTGGATTTTCTTGTATCTAATAAATGTATTCACACATCTGTTAACCCTTGACAGTCTTAAATGGGGCTCTGTAATCAGATGGGGTTTTTTGTGAAATATGGCTGAAATTTATATCTTTGCAATCTTCCATCCTTCTGCCAAACGTTGTTGTAACTGGCCAGTAAAGATGCATGGGCACTGACAGACATGCTTTCAGATGCAGTGTGGTCATGTTAATCTCATTTCACTAAAAACCAGTGGAAAATGATTACTGGGAATTTTGATCGTTTGTACTTAAAAATAAATAGACCATGAAATACAGGTAGTAAAAAATACAAATAAAAATGTCCACTATCTTAAGAGGGTGCTGTTTTCTGATATACTGTGCAGTTCTTTAGATTCTTTTTGTGTGTGTCATAGGCTGATGGATGCTAGATGATGTTTTGAATACCAAGTAACTTGAGTCTTTAAAAACAGCCAACAAACAGCTTCTTTTTTCCTCTGCAGACTATATATATTCTTGGCCAGTAACCATCCATTTATTGAAATGTTCCCATTATTTGTAATTATCACTAAGTTCCTACCAATTTTTCATTTTAATAGTAGGTTGTCATTTTTAATATAACATGATCCATTTGCTAAACTTAAGCCCATAACTCGGTACTTTGAGGTTATAAATAAATCCTTTTCACAGAATCAAGAGTTTTTTCAGAGCCTATAAAATCTCTTGTTCCCCTATGTAGAATTTTACACCAACAAATTAAATTAGTCTTTTAAAATTGCAGTTAACTTCTGCTTGGCAAGTGAGGTATGACAATTAGTATGAGATAATTAGGGATCAAAAGGATCAGATGGTGAGAGGTGGAATATGCAACCACACCTCAGAAGAATTAACTGGAACAAAGTCTTGTTTTGTTCTTGGTTTCTTTCTTTTTTTCTCTAATTAATTTCTTCAAGATAGAAGAGTAGAGTTACACCAATTTACACAAGCTCTCCAGATTGTTGATGTCATATGATGTCCCACTCATCAGTAAGCTTAAACAGATGATTATGGCGCCTCAGTTGCCAGGATGAGACATGAGGGAGCTCCCCAGTAATTAATACTAGTCTTACCTGGAGAAGAATTGCAAAATTAGGTATCCTGACATTTGCTCTAACATACAAACCATTAGTGATCACCAAAGCGGTGGATTCCACTGTTGGAGCTCCAATTGTTTTAACAATACATAGAAAAATAGGAGTATGTGTAAATGAAAACCTTCCCATTCCCGTGCTCTGCCCATAGATAAAATGGGGACCAGAAGTTATTTCACTGTAACAGTCACCTAGATGATGAGTTTGAACATGAACAGTATTCAGAACTAAGAGTTTCCTCTTCAACTTCCTTCCACCCTGCAGGAAGGATAAACATTTAGCAACTCTGGTGATGATTTTTCTGAGTAATTTATAAATTGTTTCAGAGAATTTCATCTTGTGTCTTTAGTGTACTGCATTAAAAATTTCTCTTTTCAGTCTTCACCAGTCTGCACAGTTAAAGGGAAAGAAGATCACAAGAAGGAACAAGCAGCCAAAATCATCCAGAGACAGTGGAAGATGTACCGAAAGAAGGTGAGACTCTCCTGTCAAGGAGCAGAGAGGACACCCCCTTCTGAATCTTACTCATGTTTTAGCATCTACAGTAATCTGCTGCTGGGCTCCAGGAATTGCAGGAGTGCTTCCCAGTACAATTCCTTACCACCGTCATATCTCTTCCACCACTTTTTCAAGTCCTCCCTGGTGCTTTTTTTGCCTTTGCTCCCTAGAACCCTGTTGTTTGTGCTGTGAGGTAGCCCGTTTCTGAATGGGAGAGTCTAGGTGAGCAGAGAACTAAGGAAACAGCAGTGTTTGAAGCAGCACTGCTGGTGTTGCTTCCTTGGAGTATGACTGAGAAGTTAAATTCCCCTTGCAGAAATCCTCCAAACAATCTATTTTCTGAATTGAGTTACACTCAGCTGGGACAAAATGATCTGGAAAAAGAGTGCTAACCTTAAATTTTGTTCTGTGGGCAATAACATCATGCTGCTTTTTCCACATATAGGCCATATGGTGTGAGGTGGGTCTTGTAAATGTTTCTTAGGAAACTAAAGACAGAAGAACTATCCACACATCTTTGAAAGATTAAAAGTTTTTTTTTCCTTAAGTTTGTTATTCAAGTTTTTAGGGAGAGGTGGGATCAGTATCTTCTGTGTGGTTTTGATTGTTGGGGAGAATTTGGGAAATCTTTATTACCTAGAACTTGTATGTATTTGTGGCATTAAATTAAGCATTTTTCATTTCAGAAAGAAGAAATTGCTCTGGATGAGGTGAGTGTGTTTATGACACCCAACAAGACAGTAAAATAGATTTAATTTGTATCAGAGCACAAAAAACTAGCATTTTATTTTTAAAGAGATTTTATTGTAATATGAAAGGATGTGCCAAGATCATGTTTGTTCTTCAGGCTGGTTCACGATCTTCCTTCTGGCATCCTGGTTTTGTTTGATATATCTTGTCAAAGTGTTCCTCTTTTGAACTCAAATTTTCTGTCCTTGGTACCTTCTGCAAGATGAACAGAGCTTTTGAAAATTTTGAACAAAATTTGATACTGACAGACAGGAAAGTTTTTCTATATTGGATAATCCTAATGATGCTTTCATTTTCACTGTGATGAGTCTTCAGAAAAAATTGAAATAGGAATTGGAAGCCTTTGCTAAGGAGAAAGTTCTTTGAGTATTCTGAAGAAATTGACAAGTTTGTCAAAGTCACTTTTTGTTAACACAAAGTTTTTTGTTAAACTGGTTTTCAAATTGCACAACATAGCTTCTTACATTTGTTTCTTCCAAAACATTAAAAATCCTACTTTCAGAAATTAGAACAAATACAACCCATGTGCACAAACCTTCTATTTTACATCTGGATGCTTTTTGTTGATGAGAATACAGTAAAACCTCTGAGTAGAGGGGAAAGGCTTATGTTCAGTGTAATCACCACAATGGTCTGCCAGACTTGGCTTGATTTCTGATTTTACTGGAGCACCACAGAGTCTGCTGGGTGGCCAGAATCTAATACGGGAATGGGAGCACGTTGCTCTATTAGTGAAATACAGGCTAGTGGTGTCAGCTAGAACTTAACTGCATTTGATAAGATCAATCACGAACACGTCCCAGGTTGAATTGAAACCATGGAGGTGTATGCCTATGGGTTGTCACAGGCTGGGGATTCTCTGGATTGCAGCAGAGTACCTGTAAAGTAGTGGGGATGTGTGTGTACCCCCTTAAATTAAATTAAATTAAATTTAAAAAGAAAAATTAAAAAAAGAGAAAAAACGGGGGAAAATCTCTCCCGGTGTCGGCAGGGAGAACCGTGTCCCGTTCCTTAAATACAAGGAAATATCAAGACATCAAAGAGTTTCCTTTGCACAGGGAAAAGTTATTTTGCCCATGTGCCTCTTCACTCTGGACTCTTGTTTTATTTTATAACTGCCATCTTTCAAAGGAGCTGATGTCTACTTACTTTTTTCCATCCTAGGCAGTCGTTATGCTTCAGGCAGCTTTCAGAGGACATTTAGCTCGACAGAAACTGTTACAGAATAACAGGATGCATGATGCAAAATCTCACAACAAGGTAATTGTTGGAGCAAATGGGTATCCAGGCATCCCATTATGTTTCGTTTACTGTGTAAAGTACTGTACTTCCAGACTTAATTCTCTGAATCACCCAGTGATACTGTTTTAACAACCAGTGTTGTTGCACTGGTTGGCAGCACCTCTGTAATTCCAGAAAGATATCAAGCTCATTCCCAAGCCTTCCTTTCCATCTTCTTTAGTTCACAGTTTTTCTTAGAGGTAAAGCTATAACTTCTCTGCGCTATGGATTGTAGCTAGTTCTCTTTTTTTTTTTCTGGTTCTCCTGTCAGCTAATAACATACCCTTTAACTCTTTAATTCATGGTGCTATTGAAAACTGTGATTGCTCTCAAGCGTTCACTGAATCATTGTAGCAAAAGACAAACCTTTGTCACTGAAGTTCAGAAACAAGAATTTGGAAAGCATCTTTGATTGAATTGAAAAGTAAAGGAGTCTTGGATGTGGCACACTCAACCAAAGACTTGTAGTGTCCTCTGTCACGTCAGACTCACTCCAGATTGCTCAGTTCTGAATATGAAAGAAATTCCTTACCAATTAAACATTTAGTTTCTGTAAATCATTTGCCAACTCACGCGAATATCCTTCAGACCTTTAACAGGCTGAAGTTAATTGGTAATTCTCCATCCAGGTTGTCCATCTGGTTGTGCTGTCCATGTACTTTTATTTCAGTAAACCAGCCCAGTGTAGTAGGACTGAATGCTTTTGCTTGATGCAAGCAGAAGATCTATCCATCATGAAGGTTGCCTTACCTCCTTCAACTTTGACAGGTTTCCTTCCTGGAAAATAAATGAACTTTCCTTGCAAGTGTCTACTCTTTCATTAGTTGAATACAGATGCTTCAAAGCTTGTATGATGATTAGATTTGCATTTCCTGCATTAGGCTTATAGAACCTTTAAAACTGCAGACCAAAAGATGGGAATATTTGCTCTACTACCACTTTTGCAATTAGGAGTAAAATTGTGAAAGCTTCTGACAAGCTTCTGTGCAGTCTGTAAAAGGTCAGTTCTCTTTAATCTGATTGCCTTGCAGATCTCCTGCATGCCTCCTGTGTCAAACTCCTTGAGCTTGTCTTCTGATGGTGAGGAGAAAGATGAGATTGTGACATTCATCCAGTCCATTTTCAGGGCTCACTTAGCACGTACAGTTCTGCTTGAAGAGAGGTAAGTGAAAAATAGCTATTTCTGCAACGTTTTTATTACAGGTGTGGGGTCATATTATAGAGAATTCTGGTGTGGGTTCCTTGGCAGAGAAGGAGAACAAGGTTCTTGTTCCAACAAAGACCAGGAAGAGCTTGCTCATGAGAAAATGCAAAGAGTATGCAACTAAAAGGATTTCTTGTTGCAGCAATAGGCTTCCTGTATCCTCTTGCATGTTCTCTTCCATAGTGATGAGGAAAAGTAAAGTAAAATAATTACTCTTTGGAAAAAGAAAAAGATAATTACAGTTGCTATCAAACTGATGGCTAGTGCACTTGCTTAATATAAGTGCATCTGAAGCTCTGACGTGTAGAAGTTAAGGGTTATGTGGAAGAAGAGCAGGGAAGAACTAGAATACCATCTTGCATACAGTCTAGTGACTTAGCTCAGGAAGAATGCAGTGATTTGCTTACTGCATAGGTTTATGATGACTCCAGGGTTTACTGCTCCAAAAGTCTTTAATATAGGCTGCCATGGTTACAAGGAGGGTTACATAGTTGTCACCTCACTTTAGTGTCTGAGTTCACTTCCGCAGGTGATAGGCTTTTACCTCTTGGAGGCTAACAGCACAAGGAACTCTTCAGCGAACCCTCTGAAGACAGACTGCAATTCCCATTCTGTGCCTCACGCTGTGCAGTTTGGTTTTTTGCAGACCCTCTGTATCCAGTGCACCAAGTGAGAAAGCAGATTCTGCAGTGTACATTACAGAGAAGAAAGCGGTCTCAGCAGCACTCCAGAGAACTCCTTCCATCTTCATGTCGTCTCTTCCTGGTAATCTCATTTCTCTCTTTGTTCAAAAGTATGTCAGTTTTGTGTGGGTGCACACACAATTTTATAGAGAACAGCTGCACAGGCACACACATGTGCAAATGCATACTTGTACTCTGTGTAAGTGTCGTCTTTTAATTTGATGACATGTTGTTTTACTAGCAAGTGCAGTCCCTTAAATAAAAAATAAAAGCTTTGACAGTATCAGCACCAGCTTCCCCACAGTGCTTTGCCTGTCTGTCTCAACTGTGGTTTGGAAGGTCTCTCTCTGGTGTGAGTGCTAATTATTCAAGGAACATGGTGTTCCTCTGTATTGCCTCTCTGCTTCCTTTTCAGTCAACCCTGTAGCTGTAGTATGGTACTTTCCACTATGTTTTGGGCCCAAAGCCATCGACAAGCCAAGAGCATTTTCACTGTCCTGACGTAGTTTCTGAAGGGGACAGACATCTGGTAAAAAGAACCATCCTAGTCAGCCATGTGTATTTAGTCACGTTTTTTCAGCAGTCTTCAGTTGCTGCAGTAAGAAGAAAAATGAAGTTCTAACCTTGCCAACTAGTACTACTATAATACAAACTGGGAAAGTGTCTGTCTTTTTTTTATGGCTCTTTTGCCATTTGGTTTCCTTCTTGAATTCTTCATTGCTGCTTGTGAGAAGAGGAGTTAAAGCCAAAGGGGCTTTTAAGAGTGTTAGAAATACTGAGTGGGAAAGGCAAAACAATTCTGCAGATAAGAAAGCCTTAGACATAGAGCTTCAAAGGAGTTAAAAACAAACTGAAGAAGGTTGATTCTATCCGGAGTGGGATATTTTAGACTTTTATGGACCAGCTGGAGAAAAAAGAGCAACTTTGAGGGTGACCCAAGAAACATTGACTTAGTTTTTTGTCAGTGAAAAGCTGAGAGTCTCTGCAGACTTGCCCAGAAACAGAGTATGCTGTAAGCAGCTGAGGCTGTTTCTCTGAGATATGAGATGTGGAATAAACCACATTTGCAAGGGTTGTGAATACAGAAGTTACTCTTCAGTGAAGGAAAAAATGTTTAAGAAACTTTACTGCATTCCATATTCAGGAGCATATTCTACTTTGTGAAGGAGTAGGTAGTACTTACTTCTGCAGGTATTATAGTTTTGAGTGACTTTAGTTATGTCTAGTTATGGTATCCAGAAAACAAATGCTGCAGGCATCCTGTTTTGCCTGGGCTCTTCTGCAGTAGTCATTATTGGCATGCTTGGTCTAAACCCAGAGTACATCACTTGTGAAATTCTACCCATAGTGAAAGATTCACTTTAAAAAGAAAAAAAAAAAATGCCTTGTGCTTCTTCAGAAGTGCTTCTAAGACCCAAGGAGGGGTGCGAGATGAAGCTCGTCTGGTAAATGTAATAGTATGAATACTAATAGAACACAGTCTCTGTCTAGATATGAAGTCTCCAAAGCCGATTTTCATTGCAGATTGTGATGACAAAGTGATGAGTGAAGAAGTTCTGGAAGAATTTATATCAGAAGGGATAGAGAGGAGACCATAAGCATTCAAACTTTCTTTGTTGAAGTCCTTTTCTGGTGAATATTGTGAAGGACAGATTGAGAGCAAAGCGGTTTACATTTGCTGCTGATCTTATGAATATGGGACATGTTCTCAAGATCTGGGATGAAGATAGAGTGTATCTAAGTACCTTGTGAAGAACCATACTGGATATCTGTAACAGTACAACTGCCCAAAAGCCTGTGTTGCTCTAAGTGACTCTGTGAAGTTTTAGCTTTTGGTGCACTGGAGGGTTTAACAGTGTAAATGCCACCTCTATGAAGAAATGTGACCCCTCAAGCAATCTGCTTGGTTAGAGAAAATTTTTTTGTCATTTGAATTCACCTAGCTTAAACAGGTTAAATTTAAGTAAAAGTCCAACATCTGTCATTCGTAGCTCATGACTGATGTAAAAATCCACTAGCAAAATTGGTTTTTTATGTAATATATTTCACTGGTCATCCTGCAGCTTGGAATGTGCGTGAGACAAGGAGCCTCTTTGACAGCCGAGTGATTTAAAGCAATCAAATTCCTTTAGCCTTAAATCGTGCAGCTGTTTTACAAGCTCTTCCTTCATTTATCCCAAGTCCAGACTTGCATTTCGTGACCTCTGTATCTTGCAAAGATCTCCAACTTTCAGTGAAAGTATATATTGCAATAAGTCATTTAATTTCACTAGCTTTTCAGAGTTATTGTGAGAGGAATGGGAAAGATGAAAACGTGTTTTAAAGAACCTTATATATCTGCTAGAATAAATTTATATAATCCTGGTCTAGCATTGCAAACTTTTAATTCATTGTTTGCGTCAGGTTAGATGTCTCTTTTAAAAAAAATAAATAAAGAAATGGCAAGAGTGGTGTAGCATTCAATGCTGCTTTGCTTGTCTTCAGAATGTGGACAGTACGTGGGAGATTTGTAAAGCCGTTTCTGCTTTACAAATCTCATGAAATGGAACAGATAATAACAATTCAGTCTGTGAAACTTAGCGTTTTGTTTCTTTCTGTCAAGGAATGTCAGGAAGGAAGAATATGTTCTGTACATGCGTAGCAATCTTAAATAAGAGTAGCATTTCTCTCTGCATATCACCAGCCACTCTGGGTACAACTGTTAACTTAATTTGAGGCTTTTTTGAAATCATAAGGAATTTACATACAAACCTTAACTCTGATCAGTGCTTACCCCTTCAGAAGCACAAAGATAAAATTGTCACTCTGAAGTATATTAAACTGAAGGTGAGGACAAGAAAATCTCAGACATCAAGAACAGGATATAATCAAGAGCGATTTGGACAATGTTAAGCTATTTCATATATATCTGTTTATTGTTGGAGTTTCATCTTCTGGTTATCATATTATCATACCTTCTTCTGGAAGTTCTCTTTGCTCATCCTTATCACCACTATTACTGGCTCATAAATCTTCCTGAAAAACTCTTACGTTATTTGTTGAGTGATGCAGAGAAGAATTTCACTTAACTAGAAAGTCATAAGTTTCTTTGCTTCTGTAGGTTGAGATCAATGTAATGGCCTCCCTGCATTCCTTCTTTCCATTCACAGGCTCTCTGTCTGTCACTCTTTTTCTATTTCTGGGCTGGTTGTGGTTCCCTTTCTTTATTCCACATTCCAGTTGCTGTGTATGCTGCCTCTTCCATACCAGGAGGTTTTTTCTGTGCCAGGAACCTCATATTTCACTATGAGACCCATGACATGTCTGTTCTCCCCAAGTAATATTCCTTGTGCTCTCCATTTTCCCTTCCGTTTCAGTGCCAAAATCTCAGTGTATGACTTCTTACTTGTCTGTTTCCCCTTTCTACCACAGGTTTTTTTGGTTTATTTTCTTCTCTGGGAGATGGTGTTTTCAGAGAAAACTGAAAAATAAGTGGAGCTGAGGGGAGGATATTGTGCTAGAAGATATTAATAGCTGTCATCACTTAGTTCATGGATCTCTTGCAGAGGGGATGCTAGCTGCTGGTTCTGCCCGTTAGATGTTAGGGGCCTTGTTTGTATCCATTTCATCCCTCTGATTTTCCAGTATTTACTGGTATCATTGGGATTCTATCTGTTCATATCCTGAACATTTCTTCAAATGCTGGAATTGATGAAGTGCATAGAACCACGCATCCAGAAAAACAGCAAAGAAGAAAAAACAAACAAACAAAAAAACCCAAACCATGGTGTGGTCACCATTTTTGGTAGTAAGGTAGTAAAAGATGTGAATAATTGTCATTAAGTAAGGTAGTAAAAGATGTGAATAATATTTTTGGTATTTTACAGATACAAGGATGAAAGACAGTCACTGAGAGCTTCCATCCTTTTTTTTTCCCTCACTAATTTCCCTTTTCTCTATCTGTATCTGACTGAAGTTCTCATTCATTATGACCTTTCTGCTTAGCTTAAAGCTTGCTTGGCTTAATTTTTCCTTTTCTGGCCATCTAATAAATACTTATTTTTATGACCTGAGATAGCTTCAGTATCGAATTGCTTTACTTTGTGGTGTGTAACCACTTGCAAAGATTTAAAGACAATAAGACAAATCATGCATGGTCAGTATGTCAGCGCTTGCCATGCCTGCTCTTTCATTAAGGAGGAACGGGAATAGTTATATGCAGAAAACAGTAGATCAGAGTTATTCATAACTGTAGGTAATTCTGGAAACTTAATGGCTCAAAGAATATTACACTTCCCACAAAGGCTTGTTTTTGTCAATGTTGTTTATTGATGACCTTGTTTCCTTTGTAATTATTTCAGCCAGGTCCTCTGAGCAGCAATTGCAGCCTACTCCCTCCCTGTCTGTGGATGAAGCTCACTCAGACGACTCAGATGATATTGTCATTGTCTCTCCATCGTTGCAGACGAAGAAAAACTACACCCACTTTTAAGTTTTGGTAACAGGCTCTGGTGATCTTGAATCAGTTGATTCACAAACAAAACTATATGTACCAAGATAAAGCATATCAAAGATGAAAAAAGCAGGAATATCAGCCCCTTTTTAATGACAGTTGTCATTATTCCAGCCATAAATGAGCAATTGTTTGATATGTCATCTCTGCAGATTCTATGGCTAAAAGCCACTGACTGTTAGCCTTATCCTCCTGGTATGCAGAGGGTGTTTGGATTTAAAAACTAAAACAATATTTTGTCTCATGATGAGGATTATAAATTCAATTGCCAAATTTAAATGAAAGCAATAAAGCCTTAAGCTATTTCATGTCAAAGTTTTGTTTCAGGTTGGCTAAAATAATTCATTTAATTGGAAAGTGGCTAATGATGATATGGCTCTGATTTTCAGCCTCTGTTTGTGAAGGGGAACAGCTTGTATTTGTTACCAGATCCTCTCTATTTAAAAATTTTACTGTGTCATATTTCAATATCTTTTTTGTTTATTTTTATACTGAAATTTCACATCTGTGCAGACCTTGTAAAGGCTTTTAGAAAGCCATTTCTTTGTCATAGGGCTATTCTAGGCCTACTGTATGAGCAGGGTTTTCTTATTTATTGCTTGTTCCAAGTGTGCTTGCTATGATATCTACAGTGCCATTTCGTATTTGAAATGTCCAATCACGTAGTCATTTTTCTGTATTTGTCAGAGAAGGTGCATAATAGCAGGAGTGTTCTATGAAGGATGCTCTTGTGACTGCTGCTTCTGCTTGCATATCAGAAATAGGAGTGGATTGTGCAGGGTCATCTTTAATATGTGAAAACATTTGATGTAGGAGGTATGTTGCTTTATGTCCTGTTTTAGCTCATGTCACTTGACGTGTCTGAAACTTTCATTTAACTAGATTGTACATACACTGAGCACTAAGGGGTTTTAAGTCTAATGTTCCTTTGCTGTTGTTGATCTCAGTGCTACCTTTGCATGTGCAAATTATATATACATATGTGTGTGTATTTGTGTACATATATATATATATATTGCAAGTGCACAGTGAGTCCAATCACAGGCTGGAAGAGGGATTTCAATTTCTATCATCAGGTAAAGCTATAAGGCTGACTGCTAGAAAGCTTGGGCACTATCTGCTCTATTCTGAGGATATGGATCAGGATGAGTATAAAATACAAAACCTTACCCACACAGTTTGTCTTAGGACAGAAGTGGTAGGTTGCATTATAATAGAAATTAAGACTACATCCAGAAATAACACTGTTTGACAATATTGTCGTCCATGGAAGGACCTGAGACATAGTGGGCTGTGGAGAATATGGTCAGAGGGGTCTTTCCGTATCTTTTAGGCAGACTGTACCCCTTCTTGACTGAAAGGAGGACCTTAGAGTTCCTACTATCATGTTCATAGGCATTACAGTGTGTCAGGTTTTTTAAGGTGAACTAGATAAATTACATGATATTTTCTGGAAGGAGAATTTAATTTTACAAACATACAGTGAAGTTTTTGTGAAGACCCTAATGGTTTATTTGTCATCAAGGAGTAATAAAGACTCCTGTAAACAGAAAGCACACTTTTAAATATAAGATTTTTATCACCTTTTCCCTCTTCTTTTTTAAATTAAAAATCAGTTGCAGCTCTTTCATGGAATACTAATAAGTCAGAGCTGTCTCGGTTATTTGATTTCGATGAAGCACTATCTGAAGCTTATCATAGTTCATGCCAGTACTTGCAGCCAAAGAGGAAACTGGATGGCTGCAGCACAATGCAGCTGATTTCATTTAATCCCTGTGCTATTTCCAAAGGCAGTTTTGGGAGCCCTCCATACCCAAAGCAGTCTGAAGAATGTCATTTACACTCCCGTTGGGTAAATTTTTCCTGCTGGTACTTTGGTCACATGACTGTCATCTGCAGAGAGGAATAAAAATATATAAAATAAAAGAATAAAAGGGATAGAATCCTCTTGGCAGAAGCTGAGACCTGTTTCCCTCTTTTTTTTCTGGAAGTCATGTTATGAAAAAGAGACACTTTGCTAAACAGAAGCAGAGCTGGATGGAGTTTCTTATGTATAATATTTCAGGTCTGTAACTGTGACTCTGTCATCGACACCTCCAGAGAGTAACTAGAGCTGAGGACTCTGGACACATTAAGGGGATAGTATGTAGTGTGTCAGGACCAAGACTGATATAAAATACCTACCTTGCTGTTATCCGATAGGGAAATACTTGGACAGCAAATATAATGAAGATGACATTCTTTTACTGTGCTGTAATAACCAATATGGAAGTATTAGGAAGTAGATACAGAGCAGAAAGATGTGTGTTTTAACTGAGCATATGACCAGTAGTGGTGCTGTCAGTAGACAAGTTCTGGGATAAAGGGGAGATAGTATCTTGGTATGACCCAAAGGCACAGACAGAAATCAGGGTGAAAAGGAGCAAACATCATCTGGGATGAATGAAAATGTGTCTGGAGCTTCCTAAATTTGAGTCTGCTGTCTCATAGCCATCAAAAATCTGATCCTTAATTTGAGCTGGGCTGCAAACCTGTATCTTAGTTGGGAAGATAACTATATGCTTACTTCAGATTGAAAGTGTGGCGTGGTATGGTAAAAAGAGAAACCTCCAGAGTGTTGGTAGCCTTTAATGTTGGTTTGTTATACACTGTAACAGAATGTGTTGAAAAGGAGTAGTAACTGACCCTGGGTTTCGTTCTGTGGTTGTCTATCTGAAGACCAGCACCTGTAAATCTAGGAAGAAATATGGAACAGTGAAGGAATAAAAGGTTAATTTGGGGATAAATGACATTTTTCCTTAACAGGGAGCTGAGGACAGTAAAAATCAGTGTGGCCCAATACAAACATACTCAGTTTCTGAAAAATACGTCTTCTGTAGAAAGCACCAATAACCTTGTGGGGGCGTCAAGGTCTTGAATTAAAATTAAACTCCACTGTAACCTACGTAATCTAACAGCTCACTTTCCATGCTACTGGTAGGGGATAATGTTCCCTACCTGAAACCTTTTGCAGTTTACAGTAGTGTTTCATTAGAGATCATGTGTGAATATAGACACCCGACTTCCATGGGATGTTCTCTCTTGTTCTCTTTTTGCCCTCAAGTGCCTATGCCTGTAAATCTCTACTGAGGCATCAAGACCTGAAAACTGTATTGTTTTCTGCATAGCTGTAAAAATCCCTGCACAGGAAACTTTTAATATAATCGAAATGGAAAAGATTAATCTTGGCATGTGAGAGCACCATTACTTTTTATGATCTTTTTAATATTTAGAACTGTGCAAGTCTTTTATGTAATTTATTTGGGGACCTTTTAAAAGCTAAAACAATTGCAATGTATTTTCTCCTAATTGATGAACTTTCAAATAAAGTTCAAGTTTGTGAATTAATTGTTCTGGTGTTCCTGCTGCCCTTGCTGTGTTTGCATTGCTCTGCTGGCCTCTGCTGCACGCTCATGTTTTCACTTTGCACTTAGGTTGACCTTTTACCTCTGACTGTTTTCCTGAGCTGGTAGTGAGGAGATAACTCTTAAACATGTAGGGTGTGAAATTTCTTCTGTAGTCCACATTCAAGATTGTCCCATCAGGAATGAACAGTGGTTTTGACCACAGCCTATTGGAATTGATAGAGGTGATAGGCTTTTGCTTTCAGTCTTGCTTTCTGGTGTTTTATTCAGAAAATAAATCCTATCAAGTAGTTCTATAGCTGAAAGCCACGGCATTGCCTCAAACGTAGCTGGTTTTGGACAGAGTACACCAAATTTCATTTATGCCTTTTCATCTCTTGTGCTACTTGCTTGTTGATTGCAACAGTCAGGCTGAGCAGTGAAATTTACTTATAGTGTATCCCCTTACCTTGGTTACTGTTGCTGTTTGTGAAGCTCTGGTGGAAGGAATTAGGATGTAGGCATTCCTTTCCAGGTCTACTTGAAAAGCCCTCAGGATCTCCCAGGAAAAACAAGCGTTATGCTGCTTTATAAAGATAGAAGACCCCGCTAACTGCTTTGAAGATATGGGAATCCTGTAGTCATCTTCCTATCATTTAGAGTCCTGGCTGTAGGACTAAAACAGGTTAAAATCAAAGAAAAAAAAATCTGTGTTTGATCAATATAGCATCCAAATTTCACTTTTTTTGTTCTTTCCTTTCTGTTCCACTGACACATGCTCTGGATTTCTCAGCATAACCTTTAGTTTTAAATCTTAAACACTGGAGATAAGCCATGCAGCATGAATGGAAAAGTTTTGATATGATTTCTTGGAGCAGACTACTCTTGAATTCAGTTGAAAGCTATTAAGTGTTCACACCAGTTGTATTAAGCCATGCTTTGGCTGAAGTCAGAACGCCCTTGACTCTTGCAAGCTTAGCAGCATCTGTTTATGGTAGGTTTGTCAGCCAACTAATTGCTTTTCCCACATGAACTTCTAATGGAAAAAAACAGTTTCATTCATTCTGTGGGCATCACTAAGACCTGCAAAGAGTGAAATATCCATGTTAGCCTAGATTATTAGGGGAGGATTTTCAGGTCAGGCATGGTTGGTGGTCTGGTGCTGCATCAGTTCCTCTGATGTTTCCTTCTAACACTTGCTGATGTGATTCTTTGCCCAGTAGAGACAGTGCTGACATCAGTTTCTGAATGTTTGCCCTGTTTTCAGATGTGTGTAAGGCATGTTGGCTCTTGCTTATACGTGGCCTTTAGCACTCGTTCTGTCCTCGCTGTGCTCAAAGGAACAGCCTTGAACAGTGAGTGTTGTGATATTCTTATTAACTACACTCTGTTGTAGTCTGCTGATTGAGTTGTACCCTCAGGGGCAGGCTCCTCCTGCCCTTCCACTGTCTGGCTGTTCTAATTACCTTTCTCAAATCTGAGAGCTTACGTATTGGTACATCTTTTCTGGTCTCCAGGAAAGCATTCATATTGTTCCCCTCACTGGGGCTGTGCATAAACAAAACTTCCCTTCTCAAGATGTAGCTCAGGCTCTAA